ATTGCTTCATCGGAAGGAGTGTATTGGATGGGAGAAGGGGTTTGATCCAGTGGCATTCTAACTTGATTGTCTATTTGTTTCCCTGATCTCAGAGTGTGAATTGCATTCAATTGAGCTGGATTGTTGGAACTGGATCTAGTGTCTTTAGGGTTTGCAACAGGTTGACTTGGGAATTTTCCTTTATCTCTCTCACTCACGGCAGTGGCTAGTTGCCCAAGTTGGGTTTCTAACCGGGCTATGGCTTGAGTGTTCAAGTTGAGCACTTGGCCGGTGGTTTGCATGAATGAATTTAGAGTGGTGGATGATTGGGTCAACATATTGATAGTTTGTGTAGAAGCTTTGATCATAGCTTCTACACCCTTTTCTAAGACACTCAAACGTTTGTCATGATCAGAATTTGATTAATTTGTAGGCTGGTGAGGATGAGGATATTGGGTTGGAAAAACTGGGTTAGCTTGTTGAAAATTATTTGGTGCGTTGAATGGAAGTGTATTTCCCCTAGGGAGTTGTGGGTTCAATGCGGGAATGAAGTTTTGATTTCCAGGAGAATTTCCTTGGTTCCATGCAAAGTTGGGATGATTTCTCCAACCTGGATTGTAGGTTGGAGAAAATGGATCATTTCTAGGGTGCTGGAATGCAGCGTTCATCTGTTCTAAAGCATGGTTGTTTCCTAGGAGAGGGCATTCCTCTAAAACATGGGTAGAAGACTGACAGTTATGACATCCCGGGGCAGAAATATGATTGATTTGAGCTGGAGCTTGTTCCTTAACTTCTAAGGCTTCTAACCTCCGCAGAATCGTTGCCATCTTTGCTTCAGAAGCAATATTTGACTCCAGGGAAAGACCACTAGACTTAGACTGGGGAACTGATGAAACCCAGTCATCACAGTATTCCCATTGCATTGTTTTTTTGGATAAACTCTCTAGAAATTCCCAAGCTTCATCTGCGTTCTTCCTCATAAAATCTCCCTGACACATCGATCCTAAAGATGTTTTTGAAAAATAGTCCAATCCTTCATATATGACTTGGCACAATCGCCATTTTTCTAGACCTAAAGATGTTTTTGAAAAATAGTCCAATCCTTCATATATGACTTGGCACAATCGCCATTTTTCTAGACCATGATAAGGACATTGGATTAAAAGATCTTTAAATCGGTCAAAATATTTTCAGAATGGCTCTCCCGGGATAATTTTGAAATTCTGAATGCTGTTCCTTAGCTTTACTGTTCTATGAATAGGGAAAAATTTCTTGAGAAAAACGGTGACAAATTCCTCCCAAGTTGAGATAGAATTTATCGGTAAGCTGTACAGCCATTTTTTAGCTTTGTCCTTAAGAGCAAATGGAATAAATCTAAGCTTAATCACATCTTCGGTTAATTCTCTCATTTTAATCATAATACATACTTCCTTAAATTCCGAGATAAATATATATGCATCTTCTATTTCATTACCAAAGAATTTGGGAAGCATGTTTATGTAATGCGGTCTAAGCTTGAAATTTGCTCCATTTACTTCGGGGAGTCTTATGCAAGATGAAATTACATTTCTGGTGGGGTAACACATATTCTGAAGAAGTGGTTGATTTGTCATTTCTTGGATTGGTTCAACACGGATTAAACGATGAGAATTATCCCGAACACAAGTTTGCATAGACCAAAACAATTTTTTTTTCTTTTTTAGAAAGAAAGAAAATTAGTTTTTTTAAGGAAAGAAAGAAAATTAGTTTTTTTTATGAGAAGAAAAATCCTAACTAAAACAAATCAAATCAATCACTTTTCAATCACACTCTAATTCTAGGGTTTAGCCTAACTCCACTAGACCAGCTCCTAACCAAAAACTACTACAGTGAAAAGATTAAAGTTTTACCAGATAGTTAGCTAGGTAAGGATAGTACTAGAGGGTGATCAAAGATCAATTAAGTACCTTTTTCCTTACGGAGCGCTTTACGCAACCCCTAAACCTTGCCTTAGACACCAATTAATTTGAGAAAACTTAAACCGGTTCACTTAAGGATTTCTTGTTCCTTATTGAGCTCGAATCCTTAGGGGCTAAAAGGATTTCTTGTTCCTTATTGAGCTCGAATCCTTAGGGGCTAACGTCTAATGAGTTTTAGAAGGCTTGAGTTTGTGAAGTGAGGAATTAGTGATTTGTGGGCTAAGGAAAGGGTGATAAAATTCCTTACCCTATCTTGATTATGGGTTTTGCCCTTAAGAATGTTTTAAGTGTGTGCCAAATCAAGTGCTACAATCACTTTGGTGAATTCCTACACTATATGAAATGCAACCCTAGAAATTAAAAGTGACTAAAAAGGATGACTAAAAGTGACTAAAAAAGTGACTAAAAAGTGACTAGAAATTAAAAGTGACTAAAATTATGGTCAACAACAATCAAATGTGAGAAGAGGGCTCTTGTTCGAATTTATTATCTTGTTAGAATTTATTATCTTGTTAGTTAATGTCCAAGTGAAAAGTGGATTTTATTATGGTCAACAAAAATAAAATCTTTTTGTTTTTTTAACATCCTAAGTGTCTCTAATTGTGAAGCTAACTAAAAAGGGTGGAATTGAAAACTAGAAAGAGGACTAACCCGAAAGCAATTCTCTAAATTCTTGATCTTCAATCCAAGACTTTCAAGCTCCAAGCGGTTCCTTCATAAGAAAAACACACAAGTTAAAGAACCAAAATAATAAAATTCTATTTTAGCACCTTCCTCGACAACGGTGCCAAAAACTTGATGCGGCATAATTATGTACCAAAATCGCAAGTGCACAATTGATCAAGTTATAGTATAAAAAAAATATCGATCCCACGAGTAATATGATTTTAAGAGATTATTAGAATTGGTTCTTATGTTTTGTGCGTGACAATTAGAAATAAAGAATAAGTGTGATTATGGAGAGAGATGTGATGAGTGATTTTTGTGAATATATGCAAGAGATAATAAATTAAATTTTAGAGAAGAAAGAATCAATGAATAAATAAAATCACAAGGTAAGAAAGAAGAATGAACAAAATTAAGAAATAAAACCAAGAATGAAAAGAAAATTTAAGAAAGTTAAGATGGAGGATTCAAAAGAGGTAAGAAATCTAGAATATAATCCACTAACTAATTTCAATTACAAAATACAAACTATTCTCTTTTTATCATAATTCAACTGAGATTTATTAAGCATAGACTATCAAACCATTTAAGAAAAGTATAACCTATCAAATTATCATCTAAGTCAAAATTACTATTCATGATAAGAACAACAATAAGATAATAATCTTAGAATTCATAAGCATAACCTATCAAACCATTTAAGATAAGTATAGATTATCAAATTCTTCTTCTACCGATTAGTTCTCTAGTTGATTATCCTAAACATGAACATTTTAAGTGAAAGAGAATAATTTATACAATATAAAGGAAATTAGACTAGTTTTATGCAATTCTAAGATTCCTACAAGAATTAATTTTACATCTTAAGAAATAAAAACAAGAAGAAAAAGAACTAATTACAAAAATAAAAAGAAAATAAAAATCTAAACTATGAACAAGAATTAAATCTAACTACAAAGAATTAAAATCTAAACTACAAAATAAATTACAAAAATTAAATATAAGAAAATAAATCTACTCTACAAATTAAAGTGCAAAAAGAAAATAAAAAAGACAAGAAAGTAAATCTATACTACAAGCATGAATTTAAATCTAACTAATAAGCAATAATAAAGAAATTACAAAAAAGAAATAAAAGAGGAAAATAAAAGAAATGCAAACCTTCAAATTGCTCTTCATCTTCATCCTCATCATTCAACAAAGTGGAGAAAAGAAAATTTAAAGAGGAGAAAAATTATTATTATTAATTGCAACAAAAGTTACAATTTTTGGAAGGCCTTCTCAATTAAGAGTAGCCCTCCTCTCCAAATAAAGTTACAAAATTTTTTACACCTCTAACCCCTCACTCTCTATCCCTATTTATAGTACACATCAGTGAATGAGAGCCATTGGATTGAAATCTTATCCAAAAATAACAAATTTCAGCCTTAGATTCGTAACTAACTGTCCAGTGTATCAATTCCAGCATCGATAGGGGTATCGATGCTGGCATCGATACAGGCATCGATGCGGGCATCGATGCCTGCCTCTCTTCCTTGTTGTTTGCTTTTGGGCTTTGGACTTTGGGCTTTGCTTGACTTTTGGGCTTGGATATTTTTCTTCTTTTGGGCTTTTGGATAATTTGGAAATTGATTTTCCAATGGGCTTCTTTGCTTCATTTCTTCATTTAATCAACGGGTTTTTGTTAAGAGATTGGAGTTTGAGATTTATTCTTCATTAACTTGTAATTAAAAGATAAAAACAATTATTAGTGGTATATTTATTTATATAAAATAGATAATTAGGGTATTAAATTGTAATAAAATGTGAATATCAACCCCTATTACCGGTAGTACACCTTTTAGGTGGCAATCTTGGGTATTAAATGATTCAGAGTTCGTCCCTCCTCTAATTGCTTATATGCTTCTGGCTCTTTTAGAAAAATTACAAGAGGTTATTGCTGATGTCGGGGTAGCAGAGCCTACCGTTACTATTGGAGGTAACTTTGATTCCCATTCATTATTAATTTCCAACTTCTCATCTCATGTTTTAACACTTAGACCTCTCTGTAGATGTTTTGATGAAAGGCCCAAGTGATAAAGAAACCTTTCACAATGCAGTCGACACACCTTCTGATCCCTTACAAGATCCTTCGGGTTCTGGCGACAGGTTGCTCGACGACATGTTGTCAGAACAAACTCGCCGAGATGTTATTGAACCAGTCATCGAAACTAACCGATCATCGAGGCTGGTTCCTCTGCATGTATGAATTTTGTCCTTTTGTAAAAGTTATTCCCTTATCAGATTTACTTAACCGTAAGGGAGTTATACGTATAGGACCAGTCGTTAAGACTGGTGTAACTACTATTGTCGGGATATCTGACGATCCTGAGGGTCTTGATTTCTTACTGCTGGCAGGAACTATCATAGAAGCTCAGTCGTCAGTTGCTCAAACTCAGCTCACAATCCCGACAACTGAGATGACTGCTGCAGCGACAGGGATTAGTCTTGTTGAGCAAGTCTTGAGACCAACTGGTGAGGTTGGTACGTCAACGGCTGCGATATCGGCGACAGTCTTAAAAGTCCCAGAAGTCGTGTTGGCAAAACCAAGTGCGGGACATCAACTTGAGGAAACATCACTTGATTTTGGTAAATTTTACACCGATACTGATTTAGAACTTTGCTAAGATTTCAAAGATATTTATATCCTCTTTTCCTTGTAGGGTCGTCTTCTCGGCTTAGTGGTATGGTCAAGGCTTTGCTATCTGTTGATGACCCGGATCAAGCTCTGCTTTTCATGGAAGTCGGCTCTCTCTTCTTCTTTGTGAATGCGATGATTGATAAGCTTCTCGTCAAGGGATTTTCTTTTCATCAATTTATACCAGCATTAGCCAACAAAATAAATATTATAGAGAAAACGGGGTCTTCGGATCTGGCGCAAGCTATTGCTAATGATTTGGACCGGCTAGAGCGTGAATTCCAACGGTTACAAGAGTTGAAGACTACCGGTACTTCAACATACATAACCGACCAGATGGAATCTCGTCTACAAGTATGGCGCGACACTCGAGCCTCTGCTGGACTTGAGATTCAAACGCAACAAAGTCGAGTGGATCAAATGGAGGCCGCCCTTCTTGAGAAACAAACATCTTTGTGTCAACTCAAATCCTCTATTACGTCGGGTGAGGCTAAGATAGAGCGACTCAAAGAAGAGCTCAAGGCAGAGGAGGAGGCCTTGGTTATCTTGGGGATGACGATAGATGACTTGGAGAGTTAACAGGTTGTGATATCCGGGAAATTAGAGCTCTCGAAACAGAAGTTATCCAAGATCATACAAGAGGCTGCGAAAACATTATCCCTTACCGAGGAATCCTTCAAGGTTGAATTGCAGTGTGAGCTTGAGCGAACTTATACAGAGTAATTGACTAAACTTGAACAACAAGTCCGTAGTCACAAACTTCATGTAGATTGATTGTAACTCTTGTACCTGCAAACTCAATTTTTATTAATAGAAGATATTTCTTTTTCGTTCAATATATCTCTTTTATTATGATGTGTTACTCTGTCTGGAGTACTAAACCATAATACTCGTAGGATTTTTGGCAAACCCTCAGCCTTCAACGGGTTTGGCGAGCCTTTACTGACTACCATTTGAGTTGGGCTAGCATGCGGATTATTTTAGATCCGTTCTGCACGTAACGTACTGCTAAAAGAGTTAACTCTTTTAGTGCTATGATATTAAATACGTAGACTTCGTCTTCCTCATGGGAGTAGACTAAACAGCAACGCGTGTTAGGCTCTGTCTTATCCCTTCTTAGGCTTCGAGATAAAATTCCCCAGACTTAGACTCTGGTGTCTTTTTCAATCGGTGAAAGACTAAACCGACGACGTGTGTTAGACGTAGACTTAGGATTTTTAGTAAACCCCCTGCTTTCAACGGATTTGATGCGCCTTTACCAATTACCGTTTGAATCGGGCTAGCATGTGAATTATTAAAATCCGTTTCACATGTAACGTTGTGCTAAGAGAGTTGATTCCCTTAGACTTGGTGCTATGATTTTGAATACATAGACTTCACCATTTTTTATGGGAATATGGCACCCAACAACGCTTATTAGGCATTGATTCATCCCTACTTAGGATTCGGGATAAAAGTCCCCAGACTTATATTCTGGTATCTTTTTCACTCGGTGAAAGACTAAACCGGCAACGCGTGTTAGGCGTAGGCTTATCTCTATTTAGGAGTCGAGATAAAGTTCCCCGTACATAAAATATACGGATTTGAAGTTGAGAATTGTGTCCTTTCTTAGGGTGAAAACAAACCCGATGCTGGAAAGAAAGAATTTTATATTCTCTCCCCAGATCTTGTTTAGGGTAAAGACGAACCCAAAATGGGAGAGGAAGAACTTTATATTCTATCTCCCAAAACTGAAGAGGGAGAATTTTATATTCTATCTTCATTTACAAAGGACTCGGGGTGGGATCTCTACCTCCAGAATCCGAAAAGGTAAAACTAGGAGTGGGATCTTTACTTTGAGAAATCGAAAAGATTCAAGCAACCCTAACTTTTATAGGATTGGTTGCTTAATCCAAAAAAAGAGTTCCTCATTTATTGAGGTGAAATTCCGATTTTAGCCCTAACTTTTATCGGTTTGGCTGAAAAGGAATAGGTGGAAGTCTTTCGTTTATCGAAATGGATGACTCGATCTTGGTCCTAACTATCTGCAGGTTTGACCAAGTGAGGCTAGAGGCAATCCTAACTTTTATAGTTTTGATTGTTCAAATTAAAAGTGGACCTCTCGTTTATGGAAGGAATCGAGAGGGGATTCTGGCTTTGGCCCTAACTTTTATAGGTTTGACCTGAAAGCAATGGGAGTGGAATACATATAGCAATGTGAATGCCGACTTGTACTATCACTTGATGGAGTATTTCGACGTTAAGTGATCAGAACTTAACACGTCAAGTTTGAAAATTGCCAAGGATTAGCGGATAGAATTTTTTTTGGTGGGCCCACCGTCAATTGATTTGATCAGTGGGGGTCTTGTGATGAAAGATTGATTCGTCAAAATGGTCGAATCTCACCTCAGCAAAAGAATTCATGAGAGTTGGTAAATCCGATATCAATAAAAGAAAACATTCTAACTTTAGAGACATTCAGAGCCTAAGTGTGGATTTCTTATTTATCACATTTGTATTGACTGGGTTATCCCTAAGAATACCACATGCAATATTCTTCTGGGAACTTCCCAATACATTGGTTATCCTGAAGGTACTAAGGATAGTATTTTTTTAAGAATTTTCATTTATCGGTATCATAAGCCGGTCACCTTCCTTGGTAATAAGGCGATATGCGCCACTCGAGTAGACTGTCTCTACTACGAACGACCATTCCTATTTAGGTTTAAATTTACCTTTCTTCTTGGAATTAAGGATCATGGGCCGTCTTTCAGTTAAGACTAAATCTCCCTCTTTAAAACTCCGTTGTCGAACTTTGATCATCGGCCGTCGTTCAGTTAAGACTAAATCTCCCTCTTTAAAACTCCGTTGTCTAACTTTTTTATTAAAAGCTCGAGAAATTCTGGCTTGGTAGAATTCAATGTGTTGTTGAGCTTCCACGTGCTTCTCGTCGAGCATTTCGAGTTCTTCGAGATGTTTCTGATGCTGTTATTCAATCGTTAACTCTGTTGCAAGAGCGATCTGAAGAGATGGAATTTGGATTTCTAATGGGAGAACGGCTTCACACCCGTATACCAGAGAGTACGGGGTCGCTCCGGTAGGCGTGCGAAGTATGGTGCGATAGGCCCATAGAGCTTCACCAAGTTTATCATTCCAATCTTGTTTATTGGTTTTCACGAGTTTCGACAAAAGTTTTATGATAGTCTTATTGAAAGCTTCAGCCAATCCATTCACTGTAGGATTGTAAGCTGTGGACGAGACGTCTTGAATCTTGAACTTCTCGCAAAACTTGATGAAGGCATTGCTAACAAACTGAGGGTCATTGTCATGTATGATTCGTCTTGGGACACCATATCGGTAGATAATATGGTGTTTGATGAATGCAATAACGTTGCTCGTCTTGTTTCTCTGAGTGGAATCGCTTCAGCCCATTTGGGGAAGTAATCAGTAATTGCAAGGATGAATCGGTCACCTCTAACCAACGGGGGGTTTATAGGACCAACAACGTCCATTCCCCAGGTCTCAAAAGGCCATGATGTAGCCGAAGGATGCAGATGCTCTGGAGGTTGGTGTATATTATTCGCATGTATTTAACACGCATGACACTTCCGGGCATATGTGACTGCGTCATTTATCATGGTGGGCCAAAAATATCCCATTCTTCTGATGCGGTCGTAAAGTTTGGGGCCGGGCTGGTGCGCTCCACAAACCCCTTCGTGTGTTTCCTTAAGGACCTCTTCCGCTTCTTTAGTCGATAAGCAACATAGTAGTAAACCATCATACCCCCTGCGATATAGCGTTCGACTCTCCATGTTATAGTAGAACCTCGGTGCTCTCCGTCAGATCGAATCTCTTTCCTTCGCATCTTCTGGTAAAATCCCGTGCAGGACGTAATCGATGATAGGGAAACGCTAATCTCGTGGCTCAAACTCGGCTTGGGTTGAATACACTTCTTTAACATCCTCTTCTCTATCGTCTACATTGTAGATTAGTACGAAGAGCTGATGAGTTTTCACCGTGACGAACTGTTCCATTTCGGGAGACTGCGCCAAGGACACTGCTAATGCTGCCAGCGCATTTGCGTATGCGTTCAATAGGCGTGGAATGTACTCAATGAAGAATCCTTCGAACGATTCTGCCAAGGACACTACTAATGCTGCCAGCGCATCTGCGTATGCGTTCAATAGACGTGGAATGTACTCAATGAAGAATCCTTATGGTACGGTATCAAATCCTAATTTTGGACTTCATACTCCCCTTGAACTTGTTTAACTATCAGTTGAGAATCACCGAAAGCTTCGAGATACTCAACCCCCAGCTCTTTAGCGAAACTGAGTTCGATGAGTAGCGTATTATACTCGGCCATGTTATTTGAACACGGCTTGGTCAATGAGTAAGCTCGAGGCATCATATGTTTTCTCGGCGAAACTAAGATAACTCCGACTCTGGAGGAGACCTTAGAACATCCAGGAGCACTCGCTACATTAGCTACTCTCAAAGCACCATCGAAATACAAATGCCACACTTGTTGATGAGAAGTTACGTTGACTTTGTGGGTTTCATCTGGTAGATCATCGTGAACTTCAGCGGTTTCTGTGGTTGGGTTAGCCGCTAGAAGATCACAAATAGCCTGTCCTTTTACCGACTTCTGTTGTTTAAAGTGTAGGTCGTATTGGGACAAGAGCAGGTCCCATTTTGCTAACCGCCAATTCATAAAAGCCGGCTGTGTCATGAACACTCGGATTGGGTTAACCTTGGAGATGACATAAATAGTTTATCCAACCAAGTAATGCCGCATCTTCTGAATAGCAAAGACCAAGGCGAGACATTCCCTCTTAATCATTGGATACCAGGATTCGACACCCACAAGGGTCCAGCTCAGGTAATATACTGCATGTTCTTGACCGTTATCGTCGTCTTGTGCAAGTAATGCACTTAACGAGTGGCTCGTTGCCTTGACATAAATCAGGGATGGTTTGCCCGACTTTGGTGCAACGAGCACTGGAGGTTTCGAGAGATATTCTTTGATATCTTCGGACGCTTTCTGACAAGCGTTATCCCATACGAATGATACGCTCTTCTTTATGAGCCTAGAGAATGGTTGACATTTCCCTGAATGGTTCGAGATGAACCGTCGGATATAAGCCAACCGTCCTTGCAATCCTCTGAGCTCCTTAAGGTTTCTCGGAGGTTGCAACTCGTTAGTTGCCTTCACTTTATCCGGGTAGATGTGAATACCTTTGGTTGTAACGACGAATCCAAGGAATTTTCTGCTGAACATTCCGAGGAAAGATTTGGTAGGATTCATCTTTAATTGATAAGTTCGCATCAGCTCGTACATAGTCTTTAAGTCTTTGATATGATCATTCTTGTCACGACTTTTTACGACGAGATCATCCACGTAGCATTTGACAGTCTTATGGAGATGCTCTTGGAAAATCTTTGACTTAGCTCTCTGATATGTGGCACTTGCATTCTTTAAGCCGAAAGTCATAACCGTGTAGCAGAAAACACCGAGGGACGTTCTAAACACGGTATGTTTTTCATCATCTGGGTGCATTTTTATCTGATTATAACCAGAAAATCCGTCCATGAAGGAC